TATTTTCACAGCACCTACTAAAAAGGAAAAAATCGATAACCATAATACCTTCCAAATCAGGAAAAAATATAGCGCACCAAAAAGTTGACCTCCACATTTCATGTGATCGTACTGGTATACTGATTTACTATATACTCGAAGTTTACTATACTCATCGAACAGGCTATACTATACTGCTTTACTATATATTCATTATTAAGCATTTTGGTTTTACAGAATTAAAAGTTGTTAAATATACGGAAGGATTAAAGGCATAGTAAATTCTAACGTGCAGCTGTCATTAAATGTGCCAAATTTATTATGCCTGATACTGTACGTACGTACGTGCGTATTATCATCACCATCTGACCTAGCTTTCTCATTCATGATGCATTTCATTAGATATATAAATTTATTATAACGACGCACCTTAACTTGGGAAACATTGATTATCTCAACCAAATCAGTATTTACAAATTTAGTGGTAAAAATTTTCAAATTTTGGGGTATTTCATAAATTCGCCGCAATGGTACTGTACGTCCGCAAAACTATACCATTTTCAAATTTAATCTATCTTATTAAGACAAATTTTAATGCCATACATGCGAAAAATGCTTTTAGATTTATAAGATAACGATAATGTATTATTCTTCAATAGATGTAAATTTTCGAATAAGTGCTTCATTTTTTTCCATTTTGGTAGTGCGTCGATTCTTACTTTTCGATTTTACTTATTTGTGCAATAACCTACTATTTGTATGGTGGGATTAGGATAGGTTAGACAAACCTTTTTTCACATGACGAAACCTTTTCCCGATAGATGAAACCTTAAAACTTAAAATGATGAAACCCTGTACTCAAAAAGACGAACTCCTAAAAAAGAAAAAGTTGAGCCCCGTGAGCAGGGCTGATGATTTTCTGCGATTGGCCAGAATTACGTAGAGTCGGCCAGCATTATAATCCGCAAATTCTGACCAAATTAATGTTAGCAAGCATTATGATGACTTTGGATCCTAAATCCGGGCCATGATTGAATAGCTGCTCGAACGTAAGTATCGAGGCAGCTTTTGTCTCGAATCATCGTCTATCTAATCGAACATGTGATAGCCCGGTTACTATCACATGTTCGATTGATCGATCGATCGATCGAACGTACGTACGTAAGTATGAGGTAATCGGGTGATTAGTAATTCAGTGATGTAAGTACGTATGAGCTTTGTAATTAGTATCATTATTACAAGCAATTGATTAAGTGTGTAGTAATTGAGTAAGTATGAATTAATGGTGATTGTTTTGTAGTATATTAGTGAGTAAGTAATATTGATCAGAATTAATTTTGTCTTTTCTGCGAACCTGACTTTCGTTCTGGCTATATCGACCCACCCACCCTATCCCAAGGATAGTCAATTTTGTAGGGTCTGGCCAGCCAGAACGGCTACCATGCTAAGTAGTAGAGTTGTTAATGGCTCATTTGAAGCCGGCTTCAGCTGCATAATAGAGCCAAGCCGGCCCAAGCCAAGGAGCTGCATCTTAGAGTTGTAGCTTAATTTGTGGCTTGAGATATAACTTAGAGCCGCAGCTTAGTTGTGGCTCAGCTCAAGCTGTAGCTTCATTAACGTGCAGATCAAATTTCACATGATTATACGTTTAATCAAGACATTATAACTAAAACTGCTAACTGTTAATGCTGTATATCGGCTATCTACCTTTATTATATAGAACTTCATACTAATAGTTTACAGTTTTTTAATCTATATTCCTATATCTTGGTCCATCCAACTTTTTAAACAAAGTAATGCCTGGGCAGTTTCAGGAAGAAGACAGCTACAAACTTTTGTAATCATTCCTGCTGCTACAGAAAAAGCCTCTTCGCAAGAAACACTTGTTCCTTGAATGGCAAAATAGTTACATGCCATTGTTGCTAAAGTTGGAAATCTATACTCATTTTGTTCCCACCAACTAAGAGAATTATTTTTACATATAGGCAAAGCTAAGTATAAATCTAATTCTTCTTCTGGTGGTGGTTGTTCAGTTTCTTGCTCCTCAGAAAAAAATGACTCAAAATATGCTTTTTTATTTTTAGAGGTAGTCAAGTTAGTATTTACCTCTGAAGCCAATGATTTATAATGAACCATTTCTTGACGTAGATTAGTAATAGCTGAAGTTCTTTTTTCTCCAGGTGAGAATATTTTAAGTTTTGATGATGGATCAAGAATTGCAGCTATTGTAATTTTCTCATCAAGTAGAGACCAATATTCATTTAATTTGTAACATATAGAATCTGCAACCAGACACTCTTCTTCTTCTTCCAATTGTGATCTATCAATAAATTGATCAAAATGTCGAATAAGCCCACCAATAGTTAAGCAAACATCTGAAATTGTTGGGTATGAAATACTTGAGAGATATTCTGTTGCTTCAAGAACTGGATGAAGAAGATCAATCATAGTATTAATTCTTTCCCACTCAGAATCATTAGGATAAGTAAAATTGAATTGATTTTTGTGTGCTGTTACAAGAAGATCAGTTTCTAAACGTAGAAGTTTGAATCTATGAAGCATTTCATAGGTACTGTTCCAACGAGTAACAACATCAACTTTTAGTGTATGAAATGTTTTGCTATTTAAATATAAAAATTTTAAATATTATTAAATATAGTAATCAAATAATTAATATAAAACTTTAAATTTAATTACTTATTTAAGGCACAAAAGCGTCGAAGATCATCACACAAAATTGTTGAACATTGAATTGCATTTATGAAATTTTGAACTTTTTCAATTATTGAAGTTTCTAGCTACATACCATGCTGAACAGCAATATTCAAAATATGTGCAGCACACCTATAATGATTAAATCCAATTTCTCTCCATTCTTCTTCTAATATATTTCCACATAAAATCATTGCTGCATAATTGTCTGTGGTTAATGCAATAACTTTATTACTAATATTCATATTTCTACAAAGTTCAATTAGCTTTTCTCTTGTATGTACTGCAGTATGATTAGACACAAAATGAATTAAATCTAGTAAAAATCGTTTCATTTTCTATTTAATATCAATAAAGTGTATTGTAACACCAAGATAGGATTGATTTGCTACTGAGGTCCAAATATCTGCTGTAAGTGCTACTTTTGCATTTAAATTTTTAAGTTCTTCAGCAACAAGTGATTTTTGAATCTCAAATCGTAACATTATTTTATCTTTTACATGTTGATGATTTGGTGAGATATATCTGATCAAGATATTAGAAATATATTAAAAATTAAAAAAAGATTATTTAGTAAAACTTAATATGCTAGTATTTCTAATACCTTGGATCAAGTATATTTGTCATTTTACAAAACCATCGATGCTCAGCAGTATTAAATGAAATTTGATCACCAACAAAAAAATCCAATATGGAATTTTCACATTCTTCTATATGTTTGATATCATCTTTACTATAAGAACTTTGATTTGAAGATAAGTATCTTTTTGATTTTAAAGTAATACCATGGTTATGTTTATTATTTAAATGCTCAGCTAAAACTCCCGTTGATGTATTAATACTATATTCCTGTAAACATTTATCGCACACTACTATAGAGTCATCATTCCTATCTTTTTCCTCATGCATAAACTTCCATACAATAGACTTTCTATTGCTCTTTATATTTTCTTTAGATATTAGAGATGTTGAGGCAGTAACACTATCATGATCAAAGCCTTCTTCAGAAGAATCAACATTTTCGGAATCCATATATGATACTTTTAATATTGCATTTTTAATATTTTATATTCACTATATTTATATATTTTACATTCGCTATATTTATATATTTTAGCTTATCGATCAATAAATTTTCAATTCGCTTAATATCAATATTTTTGACTTACAATAATTTTTGACTCAATAATAATTTTAACTCAATCAATATTTTTAGCTCAAATGATACAGTATTTTTAACTTGATTAATAATTTTTTTATATATGAACTAAAATTTTATTATTATAAACTAAGTTTTAAAAGTACAATGTAAAATTTTGTTTAGATGAATAAGAATTATTTTTTTGCTTTAGCGAAACTAGTATTTATACTCAATATGTAAATAAACCTATTACAAATATAATAAATTATTTATAAAAAAATAATATTAAGCAGTATTTTCGAAAAAGTTTACTATAGAGCTCATATATATATAGTTCGATTTTATATACTAATTACAAACATCAATTGATGCTATTAGAGTGTTACATTTCTAGCAATAACTACTAGAGCCATGGTTTGAGCCATAGCTTAAGCCATAGCTTAAGCCGTGATTTCAATAGCTATGGCTTTTAAAAGCCAAGCCAAGCTGCTCAAGCTATTAACAACTCTACTAAGTAGTTTAGTTTTTTGAGAGCCTTTAGTTCCCAATTTTGAAATTGTGACCTGTTGGGACGACAGTCACACAGTTTAGTTTGGCCTGTCGGGATGACAGCCAATGTGATATGACTTCTTGTTTAAATAAGTAATGTAATTGTGACCTGTTGAGACGACAGTCACACAATTGAGTTTTGGCCTGTCGGATGACAGCCAATGGCTAAAAATCACATGATTGATTGTAAATATTTTTAAGGAAAGAGAAAAGGAGTCAATTCTATTCTCAGAAAAGTCTGCATAGTTGCTCGATAATGGAAAGGGCAATACCCATTTATGTTCTTTATAGTAGTATCCTGAAAATGAGAGACCAATTTCATAATTTTTCGTGAACGCAGAAAATTATTGGCCTTGCCTGTGAGTACAACATAAATAGCCACTTTATATTTGTCCTATTTTGTGAAGCTTATTAATCAATAAAAAGGAAGTATTTTCATTAAATAAAAATTAGAGATCATTCATCTTTTCTGAACAACGCGAAATAACATCGTCAAAAAGCCATAGTACTCATGAAATAACACAAATAATAAATTAAAACATACTGGCACAGATAAACATGTAAGATGTAGCATCAAGTGATTTCTCATTAGAATTGATATGTAGTGCATTAATATACATTTAATAAATACTAATAAACTTAAAAACCCGAAGTTTATTTAATTTAATAGAGTTTCAAAGTTAACTTAATTTGAAAATAATGGGAGCTTGAAAAGTCGTATTTTTGGTTTGAAATTTCAAAACCAGAAAACAAAAAAGGAGTTATCCGGAGATAAAATAAACAACCTTTTTTTGATAATGTATATTATATCTTGTTATATAATAGGCTTGCAAATAAAAATAAATAATCACTAATTACAAAATTAATATGTTACTTATTTAATTCGAATCAGAAATGAATCTTAGGTCTGAAACCCCCTAATAGTTATCAGGGAGTGCTAATTGATAATGCTAAATTGTTTATTCACGGTTCTAATTTTTTTTTTTATTAATAGCAATGTATTTTATTAGTTACTAACTAAGGTTTATTTGTTTATTTTTTCTTTTTTTTTTTTCTTTTTTTAGCCAGCGGCTTTTTCTGGCAACTCAATATGTATTGTCAAAATACGATTATGCTGGTAAAGATCTACCGTTACATGATAAAAACAGGAGGGAACGTATCTGATTCAAAGTGAATCTCACATATGGTGTGATCAATTAAAACTAATATAATTTAATTTTAATAGATCACACCATGTGTGGGATCCACTTTGGATCAGGTACATACATACGTACGTACAGTATGTTCTTTTATGATTGCTCTACCCATAAAAGGAAGTTATTCATGTGTTCTACTATTTTTATACAGGTCACCTGATTTGTTTACAGTATAAAATACACAAGTCAACGAAAATACATTTTTAAAATTTTCATCTAAAGGCTCAGTTGAAATACACTACGTTCCCTCTATTATACAAATATTACTCTTCTCCTTTTTGTCTACTTTCGTCAAGGTCTACAAATTCGTGTCTCAAAAAATTGGATTTTGGGGCCAAAGGCAAGAGGAGATCCAGTGGATGATAATACCACATCCACATCAACTAAAAGAATTTTGGTAAGACAATATTTGACGTCTGGGATTTTTTTTTGTAATATTTAATTTTACTCAAATATATTAATTTGTATTAATTTATTAGCAGAAATGCTTAGTCAAGAACAAACATTGTCTTGCATTCCGCCGCCTGTAATGTATCCGGAGGATACTAGCGGATCACGAACAACTCGATATGTGGGCGGTCTAATCCCAACCAGCGTAGAACTTTTTCGACATGGCAAATAATATAGATTTGACCATGCACCAATATTCGACGAGCCGAATTTTATCAAGAATATTTCGATTCGTACAGAGGATGACAGTTATGTTGCAATAACTGTCAGAATATTCTTGGTGTTAAACAATCTTTTGGGAGGTAATTTTATTTTCTCGAAACAAAAGCCTTCTGATTTTGTGCACAATGGAAGACCAGGCTGAAAGATAATCCAACAGGACAGGACTTAAAATTTTGACCGCTTTGCCACTCGCGTCAACACACCCAACCATATTGAAGGCATACATGTTTCTGGCTCATCTTGCAAAAGATGAGCCAGAATCACCACACCCATATATCCTTACTGGTAAGATTTTTCGAATATAGATCTTATTTTATTTTATTTTGATTTATATCTTTTGAAAAAATATATATGTAGCCATTTTTTTTTGATTTGATTTTTTTTTTTCGCTTTTGATTTAACATGTTTAACATTTTTTTCTTTCTTTCAGGTAGCAGGATTTCATTGTAGTTCCTGCAGTACTGTTTGTCGTAACAGGATTTTATGGTAATTGTTACCAGTGTCGTCGTAATGGACTCTCCCTATGGAGGTATAGGACCATGTTACTACTGCAAGGGGCCACATTTACTCCAAGATTGCCGAATATTTTGCCCCAATTAAAGGGGATTTCGTTGTTTCTGGTATCTTCATTCCTGGTGTGTTGTTCCTGTCATTCTGGTGTCATTGTAATAGGATTTTGCCATTATAGTTGTCGTAACAGGATTTTGTTGTTACTGTGCAGTCGTTCTGGTGTTGTTGTAATAGGATTTGAACTAATCTGCAAGAATTCTTTTATTTTATTCATATAAACTTGTTTTACTCTTTAATTTACAATGATATTATTAACGAAATGTTTCTATTTCAAAGTGTCGATCTTTGCTAATTAATTTTATTTGGTTGTTTTTTCTTTTAAGATATGCTTTTATTTTAAAATTAAAAATAAAATCAACCTGTTGTCATTATTATTTTTGAAGTACAAATGATTTTACAGTTTCAACGTCCTGTTCGATTAATCAAATATATATTTCGGAATTTAAGTTGATCCGGTAGTGTGAATACGTACATATATGCATGCATGTTTTATATAAAAAAAAAAGGCAATAATAATTATCAGTATACTTTTTAAATTTACTGGAAATTAGAGATATTTTGTATTGGCGAATATTGGCCCGAATTAAGTTTAATTGATTTTTTTTTTTTATGTCCAATCAAATTATTTGGACAATTTGACATTGTTAAAATGTCTAATATCATAATATGCCATCCTGGCTACAAAAATTTATGTATGACCTGTATTAAGAGCACATTTGTCCATTGGGTGAATGGAGAAAAGTTCCATTGCATTGCTCCGTTGTTCCATCGAGAATAATTTCCGAATGGAGCCAATGGAAGCAACTTCCGAATGCAACCAATGGAAGCCAACAATTTTATTATGAGTTTGGTCAACTGAATTCGCGATTGTTACACGAACTTTGACTTTGATATCTCATAACCTAGTAATCAAAATTCAATGGTATCATTTGAATCGCCCATCAAGGCAATTCGAATGATATCCAAATCATTGAATTCTGATTGCTAGATCATGAGATATCAAAAATTAATCAAAGTCAAAGTTCGTGTAATGGCCATAAATTTGGTCGGCCAAGCCCATAATATCAACAGGTTATGTTTATTGGATATATTTGGTTAGAAATAGAATTATCGGGTTTATTGGATCCATTGGATTTTTTATTGACTCCATTGGGTTTTCATTGTCTCTATTGTGTCCTCCGTATGCTTCATTGGCTTCTTCTTTGACTCTATTAGTTCCATTGGCTTCTTCGTTGGCTTCCCATTAGTTTCATTGACTCCATAATTTTCTTAATGAAGTATATCCATTGCCAACCCTGCCTGCACTATATCTGTTCTGTATACAGATACGCATACGTATTCCTATAAATTGCCCTTGTATGTTCACTAATCGTCTAACATTAAATGAAAGATCCGAATGAATTTTATTCTTATGGGAGACTCAAAATTAATAACTTCATACAATGGTATGTCTTACCAACTGCATGGAATATTGAAGATAAATATCCATTTATTGACATAGATTCAATTGGAATTAAAGTGAATTATGCAGATAAGATAAAAATGAGAAATTTCACAGAATCATATTTAATGAGTTTTAGTCGTTAGTAGTTCGTAGTATATCATCCTAACTTTATAATTTATTAAAAACTTTTAAAGATAATGATGAGTATAATGCTGCTATAATTCGAGCAAATAATCCAGTCCCTTCACAGTATGAGATATTTTTACTTTGAAATTAAAATTATATAATTGTCGCGGCTAATGCTTAAATTTGGACCTATTGTTATATGAGATTTTAAAATTTTTGGGATGTTTTTTTTTCTGCTTTGCTTTTAGAATTAGCTTAGAGTTTAGGGTTGATTTTATATTTAAAGAGTATAGGTGGATTTTAGCAGGGCTTATGTTTTTAAATCGATCTCTCAAATTTTAACATCAGCTGCGACTATAATTATTTCGTATCATAAATATTATCTTTGTTCTTGCAATCTTTATTAACAATCCTTTATTTCTATTCCTTGATAGAATGATTGGAATCGGATATTGTATAAAGCAAAGCGATGAAAAAATAGACAATTCAGACTATATAAATAATATACTCATGATCAGTAATAGCAAATTTGTATTTTATTTTCTTATTGTTACAGATTAACATCTATTAAATTCTTAGGACAGGAATATAAAAATCCAATTTGACCGGACCATTTGACCAGACCAGTTTGACCAACGAATTTTTGGTCGACCAGTGATTTGACCAACCCTGATTATGATGTAGTTATGATCCTATTGCTGCATAATACGTATTATGATTACAAAAATTCAAAAAATAATTCTTCAAACAATTTCTCATGTTCGTGGAAGACCCTCGTTAAAAGTAAACTTAACAAAAGTTGAACCTGATAAACATGATCAAATAATTTGCCAAAAATATAATTATTGCGAAGACTATGTTGATTTAGTTAACTAATTAAAAGGTCATTTATTAAAATGTAAAAAAACTTCCAAGAAATATATGAGATTTATTAAAAGCTCAAAAAGCGGCCAAATATATTTATTTAATTATTTTTTTTTTGAAATTATATAGCATCATCTTTTTTTTAAAAAAAATATTTCTCCAGTTTCAAAAAAAATTATCAAACGTCAATGTTTAAAAAAAAGAGAGAAGTTTTAGACCAATAAGGATAATCAAAATAACACCCTGGGCATTATTTTACGCTTATACGGTGGTAATTATACAAAATATCCGTACAAATGCAATAAAAAGTTTTTTAAATTCGTTAAATTAAAATTTGGTGATTTGGAATAAGTTCTTGATACTATCTAATGAATCCTTTACTTCTTTACCCAATTTATTTTTTAGTGTTTTAAATAAATATTTACAAATTGTTAAATTCATAAAATTTTATTTAAATTAGCTATAACTTCACAGAAAAATTATATCATTTATTTATTAAGCTAATTTATATTGAGATATAAGAATAAAAATTTTTAAAAACTTTTTTTAACAATATTTTTTTAACAATAATTTTATTTGTACTTTGTATATTTTTCTAAAATAAAATCTCCAAAGAATTTTTCTTATAAAGGCATTATTTTGCAAAATGCAATTAGCTAAATAGAGTCAATGCAGTTGTGAAAATAATTAAGATTGAGTAATAGGAATTGTGATAAAGAATAAGATAAAATGTATAGAAGATTTATAGAATGATTAGAATATATTCCAGTGAGAAAGGATAATTTAATTTTACTGAATAATTAAGTGAATATTGTTGAGTAATCCACTATTTACATATTTACAAACCACGTGAACAGCGTTGAGCATATCTACTGTCACAAGAAATCCCATTAACTGTCGCACATCTATCTGCACAAGTGTAATAAGCAGTTTTGCAAGTATTAGGACCTTCTGAAATTCTTAGACAATCAATATAAGTACTGCAACAACCAGCTAAACCTATACCAACATAACAAAACTGACAACAACTATCAGTAGAAGATCCCCCTCGACAAACAATAACCTGGCCTTGGACTTCCAAATTATAAACTAAATTATGAGCATTAAAAATACCACTAACTATTAAAAGAGGGATTAATAAATTGATTGCTCTCATAGTACAGGTTTTTTCGACCTATTTCATTTTTTAACCAATCAAATTCGTTTAAATACCAATCAAATTCGTGTTTCAATCAAATTAGTATATTTTGATCTATC